TATATATATATATATATATATATATATACTAGTTTGACCTATAAATCAACAATGTCAACAAGCATCATACCTTGCCTAATTATCCACATGTTGTGTCTGAATTGATGTATTAGTACAGTATAAATTCTTCCAAAACACACATGACTAAAGGTTGTGGGAAAAGTAAATAACAGTTTAGTGCAGTGCACAGTCAACGCAAAACGTGTAATAGTAGGCCTAGTAGAGGTGAGGATGTCAACATGAACACAACTAGTGTGCTTGACTGCGCTGGTGAGTCACCTGTCGTCAACTTTACTTGGAATGATACATCGGAGGCAGATCGATACATTCTAACCAATTCGTATTCAAAAACTGACGCATTCTTTATCACTAAAGTGTTTCCGACTATACTGTTTTTTGGAGTCTTAAATAATGGAGTATTTATATTTGTACTTTTCCGTGTACATAGAATGCGAACCACATTGAACTCCCTCCTGGCCAGTTTAGCCATTTCTGATACACTTTTTCTAGCTTTGGTTATCGGTGAGAAAACTATTCGTTTAAGATCATCAGTATTTTCTAATGATTTGTATCCTTTTAGTTCGGCAGCATATACAATATTACAGAGCTTTATTGAAATGACATTTCAGGCGTCGTTGATTGCAATAACAACTGTAGCATACGAGAGATACAATAGAGTATGCAATTCAACTGTCAAAACTTCAAGCCCTATTCAAAAGACGCATTGTGGTTTCCAATGTGTTATGCAGACGCATCTTGTTCAACTTTTGGCCTTTATTTGGGGTATAGGTTTTTTATTTTCGCTTTTATTGTTACCTTCAAACGTGCGTTACAAACGGATTTGCATCATATGGCCTCCTACAGAAAATTACACAGAATACCCATCAACAATATTAAAGCAAAACATCGAAGGCGGGATGCAAATTTATTATAACATTAGCCAAGGAATACCATTTGTTGTAGCCTTCCTCGTGAATACATATTTATACATACAATTAGTAAAAACTTTAAAGGTACATACGAAAAGTGTCGCTAAGGAACATGTGGACATCTTCACAAAACGTCGAAAAAGGAAGCAGCGGATAACTCACATGTTACTGATAAATAGTGCCGTGTATTTTGTATGTTTAGCGCCTTACATGTTAACACGTCTTCTTGGTGGACTGGTCGCTATATTCAACTATGACATTGCTTCTACCCTGTTGCTCGATGATAACGCAATATTTATGAACTTATGTCGAACATTAATGTATTTGAATTCCGCCATCAATTCCATATTGTATACAGCTTTAAGTTCAATTTACAGAATTGCCTACATGGAGGCATTTTGTTTAAGCAAACCGGTGACACAAGATATTAGGATTAGTGAGTTAAGATGTACATGATTGAGTCCATCCTCCTAAATAGTAACGGTAATGTTTAGAGATTTATATCGGGCATAAGACGTAGTCGTTAGCACTGTACAGAAAAAACAAAAAAGCAAAATATATTCTAAAAGGTCAACTAAGCTCAGCGACCAAGCTTAGTTGAAAACAGAGACAAATTAAAAAGGAAGAAAGGGTGAGATTTAAGGCTTTGCTTGAAAACAGAGAGCGAGGAAGAGTCCCGAATGTAGATGGGAAGTTCATTCCAGAACTTGGAAGCAGCAACCCGAGAAGACCCCTCTCTGTAATTTCAAGTGGCACACAGGAGTAAAAAGTGTATGCTGGCTTATGATAGGCCGAAGTCTTCTGGAATGGAACAGCTTGCTAAGCGAAGGTGGATGGTCACCCAGATACAACGGGGGTGGAATTATGAAGGCACTTGTATGTGTGAACAACAAATTTGAATGCAATGCGCTGTTTAACTGGTCGACAATGGAGAGTTTTAAGAGTAGGGGTGATTGGCGCTTTAAAAAATTGTATATTATTATTATAATTACAGTATTATTATTATTATTATTATTATTATTATTATTATTATTATTATTATTATTATTATTATTATTATTATTGTTGTTGTTGTTGTTGCTGTTGTTGTTATTATTATTATTATTATTATTATTATTATTATTATGTGCTGTCCTTTGGTCTTTTACAAGACGGGCTGCTGTGTTTACTAGTATGGATTTCGATCCAACTCGGCCACAAGTTAACTCGGCCACAGTTAACTCGTCCACACGTCAACTCGGCCACAAGTCAACTCGGCCACACGTCAACTTGGCCACAAGTCAACTCGGCAACAATAAACTAGGCCACAGTCAACTCGGCCACAAGTCAACTCGGCCACAAGTCAACTCGGCCACAATTCAACTCGGCTACAAGTCAACTCGGCCACAATTTAGTTGCTGCTTACTACTACACTGGTTTTGAGGGAATAATTAATGGCCTCGCTATTAGTATAAAATACTAATTCGTGTTTCTATTATTAACAATTACTAGTTTTTTTTTCACTCTTTTTGTCACTCTATAGGCCTAGTTTACTATATAACCTCCTGATTATAATACAGTTATTACTAACTTAATTATGATTTATTTCACGTAAATAATATTATTTTAATATTTTTGTTTTTAATATATATTGTTATCGTTATTATTACCGTATTATATTATTATTATTATTATTATTATTATTATTATTATTGTTATTACTAGAATTATTGCAATTACCGTATATAATAATATAATATTATATTTATTTTCATAGGAATTTACCTGGAGTGATCTGTTCCTTTGTACACTCTCAAACGTGACAGAAACTAATAATAATATCATGAACATAATTTCTAGTTATTATTATTTTGCCATATTATTGTATTATTTTTTGTCTATATTATTTTATCGCTTTTTAAAAATTAATTTTATAAGTTATATATTGGTGAAAATGTTCAATATTCTGTGGCAATTTTTATTATAAATGATTAAAAAATTGTAGTGAAAATGATTTGTTTATCAGTGGAAATTTTTCTTATGCTATATTTTCATATTTTATTATTATTATTTTGCCATATTATTGTTATTGTCTATAATATTTTTATGGTTTTTATTATTAAAAATTATAATAGTGAAAATGCTTTTTAAAAAAGTGCGCAAGTAACAAGTGAAAAGTCATAAATAATAATACGGACGATGTTTCCCTTCCTGCCGTGATACGCTCAGTATCCCCAATACTTGCAAAAAAACACACGTCAGGTAGGGCAAACATCGTTCGTATTATGGTATTTCAATTAATTTATTAACGTATAATTTTATAGGACTTATCTGAATTTTTAAAATACATATGCAATAAAGTTACAGTTAAACTACCGAGCGTTTTACATATTTGTGTTCGTGGCTAGATTGCAGAAATTATCATCCTAATCCAATCGCGAATATTGTGTGAAATCTTGATCCATTCCTACATGAAATTGATTGAAAGCTTAAAAAAAGTTTAATAATTTTTTTAACAAAATAATAAATTCGGAATTATAGCAGAGACGAAGTTAATGACAATGCAGGCCCGTAGGCAGGATTTTCGATGAGGTGCGTCTTGCAACCGAAGTGGACCTTACGATGGGCGACTGCATAGGGTGGGGCGAATCTTCTGGAAGCTCTGACAAATTAGCATTTTGAGGGCCCTTGTTAATGGGTTTCTAAAATCCATAATTTGTAATATCCTATTTAAATTTCATTATTTTGAGTATTGTCTAGGGACCTACAGTAAAACAGGAGAAATAGAGGGTGGGGTGAAGGGAGAAACTTGCACAGACAGATGGTCAATACCACCTCAGCCCCACCATGGTTGGTGCTGAGGTAAGAAAATTTATGACTATGGCACCTCAAAGTGGCCGGAAATGGCAATTTCAGACAAATTGTAATTATGAGTTTTCTTTTTTCTCCATTTCCTTTATAATTTTAGAGGGCTCTCCCCTCTTGAATCTAGAATCCACCACTGTGAAATTATAATTTTTCATGTCCTTTACATCTGTAGGCCTACAATCACTGGAGCTGATAATTTCCAACAGATTTCATAGCACATTAAAAATCAACGGGTAGAAGAGCGGGCAAAAAAATGTAATGCATACTATAGCATTTCGCGATAATTAGGAACGATTTTAGTGAAATAATAGGTTTTAAAAAGTGGACTTTTTGAAATTTTGTGGTCCAGGGAAGAGGCCTGGAGGGGGTTTGTGAGAAAAGCGACAAAGTAAAATTTTGAGGGTCTTACATAATAGATTTCTCAAACACATAATTCATGAATATTTCATTTAATTTTTCATTAATTTGGGTGTTTTTGGGACCTGAAAAAGTAACGTTATTATGTCCTGTACATCTGCAGGCCTATAGATAACATTCTTCATATTATATTGATCAATCTGCAATCACCGGAGACGGTCAATTTCTAACAAATTTTAGTACTGTACCACATTATTAAAAATCAACGGTTAGATAAGCTGGCAAATAATGCAATGCATGCTATAGCATTTTGTGATCATTAGGAACGATTTTGTGAAATCATAGGTTTTAAAAAGTGGACCTTTTGGAATTGGGTGGGGGTACGTCCGCACCCTCTGCACCCCCCACCCCCTGCCTACGGGCCTGCATGGTATGAATACGGAACACAAGCGTACACATTGCCATCGCATGTCTTGTACCTAAAAATATCCAGTCGTCTATGTTTTTAGCATCTGGACTACATTTCTAAAGGCGGCGTACAAAGAGCGTGTCTGTTTCAACCTGAGTTCTGTGGGATTTGTGGGAACGTTTCTTTTCAATTTTTTTAAATAGTAATAGTTCCAAGCAACTAGTACATAATTGGCCTAGGAAGGGAGTGATTTTTTCCGGATTATTATATAGAAAGAAGCACGAAACGGTCATTAACATGTGTGTATTTTTTAAATAATATTGAAATTATACCTTATTTTCCATTTATTTGTGTATTTTATAAATAATCGGAATTATGTATCAAAATAGAAATAAACAACAAAATACAAACCTTGTGTCACATTGTTCACCACCTCACTACTTTATTTCAATCATTGTCATATATAGGACGCAAAAAGGCAATATTTACAATTCATTTTAATAAAGTAAAGTCAACATGTGGCTGAGTTAATTTGTGGCCTAGTCGACTTGTGGCCGAGTTGACCATGGTCGAGTTTACTGTGGCCGAGTTGAATTGTGGCCCAGCTGACCTGTGGCCGAGTTGACTTTTGGCCGAGTTGACCTGCTTTCATAGTATGGGCCTGTCTGAATAACGATTCACTTGAATAGTTTTGGGCACGAAGGTGTAATTAAATATACACAATTCAATCATCAAATTGTAGTATCCAAACAGGTTAGGTAGGATTTTACTTTCTGTTGATATTAAGACCTCTATTGATTATATTTTAAGTTCCCTTGATTGGAGAAAACTCAATGTAAGATGGAATGAACAGTTAACTCTTTTGACTTTCAAATGTTTAAAAGGGCATGCCCATACCTAACATCCAAATTTAATTTAATCATGATATACATTCAAAATGCACACGTAGCCAAACGCATGATTTAATTGTACCACCTTGAAATATCTGCGAAGGTAAGAGGACTTTCTTATATCGTGCCTCAAAAAGTTGGAATAAACTTCCAAACGAAACAAAAACTAACTTTAAAGAAATGACCCTAGTTTCATTCCAACATTCTATTAATTTTTAAGTTTTACATTGAATCTTCTTTTGACTTTATTTTGTATTATCTTCTTTCTATTTCATGGTTTGTTTGTAACTGTACCACTTTGAAAATCAGTACTCAAATGCTGAAAGTGCATGCAGTCTAAAGAAAGAAAGAATAAATAAATAAATAAAAAGAATAAATAATCATTGTCATATTATTTAAGGATTGGATTTATTCTGTATAGACATCAAGGTTGACCCACGAAAGTCAGAAGACTTGTTTCCAGTGGGGTCTTTCTGGTAGTGATTAGGCAGTGCATCGGGAGACACTATTTCCTGAAGAGCGTAATTGCACCGACACGGGATCTATATTGAAACTTGCACTTCAATTCTCCATATTATGAAATATAATAAGAGCAGCAATGGGAATGTCTACGGTTCAGCGCCCACACATTGGCTACCACCAGTTTAGCCGACTGAGCTAAGCTGCTCTCATGATGAAAACGGTAGCTCTCTGACAAATTATAATATCAAAGGGTGTGACTGTGGTTAACCTTATTTCGTCACTACATCGTCATCACTGCATGATCATCACTATTATCATTATCATAACAACCATCTTCGTTGTCGTCCCACTGCTCGGGCAAAAATGTCTCATCATTATTCTCTAGTTTATATTTTTGTCACATCAAAACACACAACCAAAAGACAAGCTATCAGCACATTTTAGTCGACAATATTTATTTCAAAAACTAGATCAGGAAATTATTGAAAGATTTACATGAACTTTTAAAAAATACCATCGACATTTTATAAGAAAAAAAAGTCACACATAATATGAGAAAATCTGGCAATTAATTAATTTACTAACATGATCTAGGCCTATTGGCAATAAAAAAAAACTACGGTTCAGCAATTCAATTCAAACGTGTCTTTATTTTTTAAAGTTTTTACTCTTTATATTAGGCTATAAAGAATGAAGCACCATGTAAATCAGGGGCATTTGAGTTTAAACTTGTTTATAAGTCATTAAAGTATTATGAATGTCAGAAGATGAACAATTAGCAAATGTGTAGAATAGAAGGACGTTTAAACTTGTTTATAAGTCATTAAAGTATTACGAATGTCAGAAGATGAACAATTAGCAAATGTGTAGAATAGAAGGACGTTTAAACTTGTTTATAAGTCATTAAAGTATTATGCCTGTCAGAAGATGAACAATTAGCAAATATGTAGAATAGAAGGACGTTTGAAGTTAAAGCCGTGTTTAGCGCGTTTTAGTATTAAGCAATCGGTTTGAAGTACCGATGAATCAGCCAAGTAAACTTATCATATTGGTATTCATAAAGATAGATTATGATCAAAGTAAATAAGGAAAAACTGCAATAATGAACAAAAGCACATTATACAGTACCTAGGCCTATACCACAATGGAATGTTAGTGAAGTGTTTGTGAATGAACGTCGGACCCATTCAAAATAAAAGAAAACGATTATAATATTTCTCACGAGTGATAGTCCCTTTAAAGGTTTATGGTTTATCTGTGGTGCTGGTAGCTGTACCATTATTTAAGTCTAGACCTTCTGGGTGAGGGAGGTGGTATGGCTCTTTTACGGGGATGACACCGCTATCAACAACTCGGATGATTCTCTCTGGATAAGCGTACTCGTTAGTTTCCTCTTCGGTGATTTGATCGATTACCTCCTGTAAATTAAAAAAACACACGTCATTAAAACTTAGTTCAAACTACAGGTGGCAGCAGGCTCTTTTAATCATACAGTAATCGATTTATTGAGTAGTCCGGCCTATGATTTATACCAGCGACACCCGTCTATAGACGCATGATTTAGAATGGTTTACAAAATGATGCAATAAGTATACACATAATATAGACATGTATCGCACTAAGAGCATTCGTTATAGGCGTAAATACCATGGCGTTTAAGGTCAGTAATATCAGGCGACATTGCTATGCCATTGTGAGTCGAGCTTCTTATCCAGATGCTTGTGAGTTTATTCTGCTTACACTATTATGATGACTGTGTAAGAAACCATCAAAACGAACAAACGAACGATTTATTGAATGAATGAATGAATGAATGAACGAACGAACGAACGAAATAAATGAATGAATGAATTAATTAATAGATGGATGAATGAATGAATAAATAAATAAATGAATGAAGGACAAACGAATGAACTAAAACGAATACGTGGACGAATGAACGAACCAACGAACAAAATGAATGAATGAATAAATGAACGAATAATGGTTAGTCCTGTATATGGGTGTGTGTATGTGTACGAGGGTACAACTAGACGCCCTCGTTGTCGAGGGGGTGGGATATGAGCTGGTGGTGTATGTAGTGATGGATATTGACAGTGCTGGTGTACTATACTACAAAATATCCTAAGTGGTCGGTCTTAGGTGTGGACACTAAGTGTATGGGTACTGGACGGATGAGTCTTAGTGGTTAAAACTTGGCAAAAAAAATGAAAAACAAAATCAATTTAAATTTAACCTACCATTCCTTTAATTACTTTTCCGAAAACAACGTGTTTACCATCAAGCCATTTTGCGCTGTTTAGCAAGATGAAGAACTGTGAGTTGTTCGTATCTGGACCAGCATTTGCCATCGACACCCATCCTGGACCCCAATGCCTCAAGTTAAAGTTCTCGTCAGCGAAATATTCTCCGTAAATACTCCTTCCTGAGAATAGAAAACAAATTATATGAATACTGTGTTCAGTTTGTCGGCTCCTTGGCCTAATGCTCATTGCGAAAAATAAACTAGACCTTATACAACACAGTTTTTTTTTTTTTATTAATGAAACAACATGTGATCCAAATTAGTATTGATTTTCTAGACCTGCATCAATATGTACTCGATAAAGAGAAATATATAAAGAAATAGTTTGTACCTCCTGTGCCGTCTCCACTTGTGATGTCACCCATTTGGATTACAAAGTCAGGCACCACGCGATGAATTATTGTGTTTTTGTAGCTCATATTCTTCTGAAAACGAAAAAATGGCGTAGTGTTTTATATGTATCAAATACGCATACCCAGTGACCGATATAGGCATAGGTGTGACGAACATGTTTACAAAATTTATTTTAAATCCTACCATTTTTCAGTTTTTCTTTGACGATCGACGTAGTGTTTTTATAAGCCTTAACAAATACGCATACCCAGTGACCGATATAGGCCTAGGTGTAACGAATATGTTTACAACATCGAAGGAAAAACTGTGTATGCCACAAATCCCATAATTTTTTTAATTTTTTTAAAAGTTGAAGATGAAAAACATTTACTCTATGAATGTGTAAATGCCCAAATTGTATGGGATTCAATTAATAGATTAATCACACCAGTAAATATAACATTTGATAATGTTATAACTGGAACAAATAAACAGTATATAAATAATTTCATTACTGTAGGCTCATTCTGTTTGTATAAAACAAAAATTCTGGAATCTCTGAAAAAATGGAACCTTAGTTCAATCCGTACTCTGTTAATGGATGAATTACATTTGAGATACCTGATATGACATAATTTAAGAATTACCATTACACAACGAAGATATTTTATTTATGTGTGAATGTATTTCTTATCATAAAAATAAAAGGAATACATTCATAAGAATATTAAAGATATAGGCCTAGTAAATCGACATGTGGTAAATATATGATGAAATGTTTAACAAAATATAAGAAAACTGATTCTAGTATCACAATTACGGTTACCTCCTTAATTTCAGCTATGTAATTATTAGTTGAATGAACGAAAATTGGAATAAAAATTGATATATGGGATATAATGTTTATGTATGTGTATCTATATATATAAAGATATATATGTGTTTGACTGCGTATGTATGTGTATATATATTGATGTTTGTGTGTGTGTATCTGTATGTATATTTGTGTATGTGTATTTGTGTTTTTGTGTGTGTATGTATGCATGTATGTATATATATGTAAATGTGTATTTATATATATTTATGTATTTGTGTTTGTGTGTGTGTATATATAAAAAAAATATTTGTGTGTATGTATATGTGTGTGTTTGTGTATATGCGTGTATGTATGTGTGTATGTATATATGTATGTATATATATATGTATATATGTGTATGTATATGTATATATATATATATGTATATGTATATATGTATATGTATATATGTATATGTATATATGTATATGTATATATGTATATATTTACTATTGATGTTTTCTGTGGTCAAATCTGATTATAAAAAATAATAATAATTTGATAGTACTGTTGTCATTGAATTATATAAATATTTATAAAAAAAAAAAGGAATGAAAAGAACTTGGAAAAAAAGGAAATATTGTATTGTTCCTTTTTAATGAAGATTGTTGAAATAAATGTGGTGATTACGCCACGAAAGAGAAAAAAAATCCCATATATTATCTACAGTATTCATTTTTATTAAACAATAGAATATTTTTATACATCTTTTATTCATCAACATAATTGCATAAACTAAGTACAGTAAAATAAAGAGAGTGATGAAAAAGGAACCACCAAGAACCAAATTGGATTTGTTTAAATAGATAGACTATAATTGATTAAAGTATACACTAAATTAGATGTTAAATATAGAATGATATAAACGCTTGGAGGAAAATTCCATGCTTGTATTTAAATTATGTAACTTACATCATTTCTCCAGCCTCCTCTTGCTAGAGCAGCAAAGTTCTGTACTGTGACGGGACATGTCTCGCCAAAAAGTCCAACCTCGAATCTTCCGACTGGATCATCATCAATCTCAATGTCAAAGTACACTATTTTAGTGACAAGTAAATCGTTGGTTCGATCTCGGTCTGGGTCTTCCCATGGCTTCACTTTCTTTGTGCTTCTTTTTTTGGCATCCACCGACATAAGTGATGCCAACAGAAATATACACACGCTTAAGCAAACTTCTAACTTCATGATCTGTGAACAAAGATACAGTGGTTAAATTCAAACTTCAAAAGATGAGTGTCAACACAAACATTTTAAGCTTCTCTGGTTTCTTTAATCAAAATCCACAAAGTTTAATACAAAACAGTTATCATCATCAATCAATTATTAAATTCTTAACCTATACTGAAACCAAAATTTAACTTTATTATTATTATTATTAGTACAGACTAAAAAAAAACCGAAAAGCAAGTAGGCTTACTTACCAGGAGAGCGTCTGATTTGTGTCGTCTATAGTCGACTTGATAGCAATACGCTTTCCAGCGGGCATTTATATAGGATTCGATGGGGGTTCGTTGGCCAACGGCAGACCAAAAAGCTGTCGCCTCTGCCAACACGACAAGTTCTAAACGTCTACTTTTTTCGTTAAGCATTTGTAACAAAAGCTATATGTAACAAGCACTGACAATGAGTCGGTTCATAAGAATACTTAATTACGATTGTTGAAAGACCACGTGTGACAACAAATCAGAATAAACACAAAATATTCAATTTAAATTTTAAATATCTCATTTAGATTCTCTAAATTGATTACTGTACCAGCCAATATGGTCATATGCAAAAGAATATAGCAAGTGATATTATTTAACTGCCATCGAGAAAATTATTATTTATATATTGAACTTAATTTTTTTTTAGTTCATGACCGACATTGTATCTTTAATTACACTTTTACATTTTTTATATATAATGCTGATATCAGACTCCATAAGTTATTATTATAACAATGTATGGGCAGTAGCTAGGACCTATATCTAAAAAAAACATAACGGTGATAAAAAAAAGAAAGTTCCTGTGTTTTGTTTTTTTTTTCAATGATGATGAACCACTCTCTTTAAATATTATAAATAATTAACAAAGTTTCTAAAATTAATATACACTTGTAATCTATGTATTTTAATATTGACTATTAGAAATAATGTTCGTAACACTGTAATTTATTTACCGGTACATAATATAGGATATTGTCACCATAAGAGAGGTTTTTTATGCTTATGAGTCCTACTAGTCGGTATTGAGTAATTAAGACACTGAAAAAGTAAATAAATTAATTAGAATAGAAGACAACCTTACATTTATCAGCCTTCCAAGTTGTACGTAAGGAACTTTATTGTCTTTTATAACAGAGACACATTAACCTTAAAACATGTGCAACAATAACAAAGTCAGTAAAAACCTAATTACTGTGATTAAATAGAAAATGAAATACTGCAGTAGAACAAGTTTGAATAACAATATAAATGGGTTTTAAAGAATAAATAAATAAATACAAAATAATGATACTAATATTTTACCAACTTAAAGAAGAGCTATACATCAAGGATTTACATATATTTCGGGAATTATTTACATTAAGCTAACCTGAACTTAAATACCATCTTTTCTTTAATGATTTAGAAATTCATTATGAATACCAAATTTTAACAACAAACTGTATAACCCCCATTAATTAGTATTAATATTGCTAGTAAAGTTTCCGATAAATATAGTAAATTATTTTTAACAACTGCATGGAAAGAACGAAAGGAAATATATATGATAATACTTTTCTATTGCATGACTAATTTAAATACAATACAGTACTTACTTTTATGTATATATTTTCTTATTTACATATTTATTTAATATTATTATTATTATTATTATTATTATTATTGTTGTTGTTGTTGTTGCTGTTGTTAATTAAATTTATATTGTTATTTAATCTGGTACAATCAAATACAAAAGGATTGATGGTTTCCTTTGTCGCGCAGTCACATAATAAGCACAAGCCTGAATTTTGAGGTGACTAAGATTCCTTTCTTCCTTGTAGTTTCTAATGCAATTGCAGTATTGCATGTATTCCAGTGAGAGTAAATTTTCTCGGTTTAGGCCTAAACACAATGGAGTCAATATTTTCGGTTTACACGTGTTACTGTTGGTCGTTTGAAGAGAATAGGTTTGCATTTTAGTGTACATGCATCATAGGCCTAGGCCTATATCTTTTCTGTAATATCTCTCCAAATTTCGTTGTTTTTGTATATGTTGTTTCGTGTACTGTACGGTAACGTTAAATGTAGTAATCAAACTTTGATTAATGTTATCTTTTGATATTACTATTACTATTCTTACCATTGTCATCGAAATATGAAATACTTCATTGTAATTTTCATCAAACTATATAATACAGTATAGGCATCAAATCAAAGTTGAACCAATGAAATACAGAACATACAAAAATGAATTAAACAAAAAGGAAAGTACAGCAAAATAGAAAGAAAACGGGTAATATAGACAAATTCAGAATAGATAAATCCTAAGTAAGTTTTAATTTAAATTTTACTTACAATAAGAAGAAACATTAAATCAGAAAAAAAAAGACATGAATTTAAAAATTGAGATTAAAAAGGAATGATTTAAAAATTATTATTATTATTATTATTATTAATATTGATGGTATTATTATTATTAAAGGACGATTATTGTTTTAGTTATTATAATAATTATTAATAATTATTAGGACAATCCCTTTAATTATTACAATTTTATAAGAAAACTGGAACTAAGAAAACAAAATATTATATTATTGTTATTATGATTACCAATATCAATATCATTATTATCATCATCACTATCATTAATAATAATATTATTATTGTTATTTATATTGTCATTATTATTAATTTATGCTTATTCTCAAACATAATTATCATACGTTTCATGATCATTATAATTTGTATCTTTATTGTTCTTTATCTTAAAGATTTGTAATTTCTAATTATTTTAATTTTCTGTACATGTATTTAAAAAAAGGTAGGCATACCAGATTTGCAGTAGGCCTGCTATAATATTAAATGTAGGGTTCGACAAGCGACTCGTTAGTAAAGCGGTATTGTTTACGTGGCATATCCCTCACTTTCATAGAGTATTGTTACAATTATTGTGCCCAAACGTGGCAGGTAACATGTTGTGAATGATGTCCACGTAATGTATTATCCCATGGTAATCTGGTCTTAAAGTGTCTAATAATCGTGTGGCAATAAGGTGACGTAACAAATTCAGAATTCCAACTGATTAATGTTAAAACTGTAATACCCCGTATGCAACGTGAGCTAGGCCTAAATATTTTTTCTGTGTTTTGGTGTAACAATAGAATTTGCGTCTCGGCGTTACATACTGAGGCCTATATCCTTTTATTTCCATGGCCTAGATGGAGTTTCTCGATCCCACCATGGAGATTTCGTAGTGACAATGTCATTGAGATGCCTTAAACGTCTATGCGTTTCAAACTTGATTTAGAAAAATGGACTAGTAAGTAAAATGGAGGTAGGTTGGATGATCATTTTCCTAATGACACCATTCTTAAATTCAAACCGAACACTGATTTTCTACTGTGTCTTACCTTCACTTAAATCATCATTTAATCACAATACTTTATTTATGAGCAGGGGTGGCGCCAGCGGGTGGGGCAGGGCCCCCCCCCCCTTGTCGGGGAGAGCTGCACAAAGTCGGGGAGAAAAAGCACAATTCGTCGGGGAGAAAAAAATGTTATGTGTATTTTCTACATATTAGTAGAATCTAAAATCGATTAAATAAGCCTCTGAAACCCCTAAATTGTCAAAATTTTCGGGGGATTCGCCCCCCGGACCACTTTCGAAGCCTTTTAATTGAAGCTCGACCACGCCCACTTTGCTTTCGTCGGTGAATTCTCACCCTTCGTCGGGGCGCCGGCGCCCTGTCGGGGACCTCGCCCCCGCCTCCCCCCTCCCCCCATCGGGCAAATCCTGGCGCGACCGCTGTTTATGAAACACTCATTTTCAGGAAGGATTTTTCAACAATTATTGGGAGAGAAGAAGGATCGTTGTTTCAGGCTGTCTACATGAGCTCAACCTCTTACTCTTCCCAATACTGTTTTAGTTAAGTTTCTTGTTAATTAGTGATGTTTTTGTTGTTTTTTGGTAGTTTTTACTTTTTGTATTGCATTGTGTATATGCATTATTATATTGTTTTAGGTAGCCTTCTTCAAAGTATGTCACCTTTCTTTTACCTCTGATATGCGCTCTATAGGTCGACCATTTTTATTATCACCACCATCATCATCATCATCCTCATCATCATCATCATCATCATCATCATCATCATCATCATCATCATCATCATCATTATCATTATCATTATTATTATTATTATTATTATTATTATTATTATTATTATTATTATTATTATGTAAAGGTTTTTTCTTTAAAAAAATCACGCTTGTTTTTATGAGACAATTTTTATCATAACAATTGGTATGGTTTAAATTTTTAAATTTGTTTGTTTAGTATTTCAGTGTGAAGAGTGACTTATTACTTTATTTAGGCAATTCTGTTTCGTTTATTTTACTCTTGTATTACGGTTCTGTTCTGTGTCACAAAAGCGAAATAAATGGTATAATAATAATAATAATAATAATAATAATAATAATAATAATAATAATAATAATAATAATAATAATAATAATAATAATAATAATAATAATAATAATAATAATAATAAGATTTATAAA